TCGATGGCCATCCGGCCTTCACGGTGCGCCGCATCGTGGACTCCCGTCGACGAGGTCGCGGATGGCAGTACCTCGTCGATTGGGAGGGCTACGGACCGGAGGATCGCCAGTGGGTCCCAGGCTCGTACATCCTCGATCCAGCACTCATCGAGGAGTACGAGCGTTCCTGCCCATCAACCTCTTCCGGACCGCCAAGGGGCGGTCGTTGAGGGGGGGGTACTGTTGGGAGCTGGAGAAATTCCATCTTTCTCCAGCAGAGTCCGCTGTGGATCCTCTGAGGGAGCCTCCTGCACAGCTGCAGCTCATCAAGACCATCAGAGGATCCACTATATAAGCTGTCTTCAGACCTTGCCTCAACGCCGCAGTGTTGTTCCAGTTGGTCAGCGCTAAAGCCTAGATTCTCAGTGTATCTCCATGACCTTGAATCCAGTCTGGATTCTAACTACTGTCTCTGTTTTCCAGGAAACCTGTGCCTCCTCTGTGAAAGCTCAGGAAGAGCTAACCTGCCGAGCCGACCCTCTGAGCCAAACCCTGAAGACTCTCAGAGAACCCCCAAGCAGCTCTGGACTAGAGCTGGGAAATCAAGCCAAGGTCTGTTCAAGCTAAGACGCGAGACGCTGAAGCAGCAAACGGACTCTGCTGACAAACCCCTCTCCAGAACCAACAGTGACTCTCCCAAAGTAAACCTCAAGAACCCTCAAGGTACAAACAGTAAACCTGTGGAAATCAAACCCTGTCAGCAGCCACTAACTGTGCTGTCTCTCACGCAGACTCCGGTGAACCAGAACCCAGACCAGAACCAGAATCAGTACATTCTGTGTGTTTTGTGCTTAAATAAACTGTTCAACTTTTCATCCTTGTGTCCGTCAGTGGTGTTCTGCATAACTGGGTCTCCTTTAGTGAACCCATCATGACAAATATCCCTGTAACAGGGATAGATGAATCATATATAAAAACGAGGTGGAAGTTAGAAAGAATCTTTCCTTTAAAAACTTGTTTGAAACCGGGTCTAAAATATAATTTGAAGGCTTAGATGACGATAATATTTTGCTAACTGAAATTTTAACTTGATCAAAACAGTCTAAACCCAATTCAAATTCTACTGTTACCTCAGATGCTGTCTCAACTTTCAGAGATGCACCAGTTTTATTTAGAGGGATGCCAATTATCTTATTTTTAATAGAATCAATCAGATGTTTAAATCATCCCATAGAAGCATTACTGCTAAGAGATGGTGGTGGTGGTGGTGGGGTGGGGGGTGTTGTGTATTCAACAGAGCTATGGCTGTTTTACTCATATTCTAAAAAATAGAATTAATCTTATTCTCCTCTGTTGATGAAAATAAATATGCTGATCTAATTTTATGAGGGGTCATTTTATACAGCAGTAAACTATTTTTCCAGAATAGGTAGGATTGCTGTAGAAATGTAGATAACCATTTTCTCTCAAGTTTCCCAGCTTAATGCTTCAAGGTGCTTAACTTTGTATTAGACCAAGGAGCCAGCCTCCTATTATTTAATTTTGTCTTTTTTCAAAGGGATTACATTGTCTAGTGTGCAGAAAAGAAGTAACCCTCATCAAAAAAAATCATAATTTTGTTTCAAAGGAAAATTAGATGGGCTTCAGCGATATAATTCTCTGATACAGAGGAGATAAAAAGTGGAACAGATTATTAAAAATTTCTGACATTGATTGACTAAAATAAAGCCTTCTTTAGGGGAAACAAGATCTCTGTTAAAGAATGTTTAAAGGTTACTAAAAAGTGGTCTGAGAAGAAAGGGTTTTGAGGAAATACTGCTTTTTCTTCACATTCAAAAATATGTCAGCTGACATGTGCCATATGTCAGCACAATGTCCAAAGTATGAGGATGTGAATGTGTGGGACTATTCACATTTTAAGTAAAGCCAATCAAGTCTAAGACAGAATTAAAAGCTGCCTTTAAGCTATCACCTCCAATGTCTACATGAATGTTACAATTCCCTTACTAAATTTGCCTTGTTGTTATTAAACACTAAATCAAACAGGAAATCTGATAACTGATCTAAAAATTGAGTGTAAGGACCTGGATGATAGAAAGTTATGAATTGAAGAGGCTTGGTTACATTACAATTTGGATGGAAAAAATGGTCTTTTAATGACTGATTATAAATATTTCTGATGTGCCAGTATCTTATTCTGAAACACTCACTCAACATTTCTGATAGTTAGATATTGAAAATAGCATCATTGCCTATGAACAGCTATGTGCTTCAGCAATTACCCTTTGTTGCTTACTTGTGTAGATCGTCATTGACTTTGTAACCTTCTCAAGACAGCACTCTTCTCCATGATTAGGTAGGCGAAGTGGTTAAAACATCCTATTGATGTTCTTATGCATAGTTCTCGGAAAAACTGAGTTTTCAGGTTGATGTTTGAGCATTTATTGTAAACAAGACATGAATAACCACTTTAAATATGTAATTATGTTTGTGATAAGTCGATTCTAATTGATTTGAGTTCTGCTACATTCTGATGTATTAAAATTAGTTTTCAGTTTAAAAAGTTGTCTGTATAAGAAGAAGGGAAGCTCATCTGTTGTCACAAAAGCAATATTGCCATTTTCAATGGATTTTCCAGACTTGAGTCATGTAAACTAAAATGAGACTTATAATTTAGAACTAGATTATTATAATTTCGTAAAAATCACAAAAATTTTACTATTTTAGACAGATCACTAATTTGATTGATACTAATTTTGTATTTATGTATGCTAATAAGCATACATAATAGTAAGCATTGCAGACTGTGCAGGGAGAACTAACTGTAAAATCAGTTGCTCTCCACCAATTGCAGAGCTTCATCTGTGATGTCTGCCGGCGATTACGTGGTGAAGTGCCATGACCTGAGTCTACTGTCTGAAAAAACCCACTAGTGCTGTAAAAACTAAAAAAAAGTGAAGTATTTCTTTGAAATAATATGTTTATTTTGGGAAGTTTTTTCCGTTCTTCCAGCAGCTCTTCTTTCCTTTTTCTTTTCTGGAATCCTCTTAAGTACATCATTTTGGTATCCATCGCTGCTAACACATTGTACATAACGGTTATGGTTTTAATCTACACTCTGGATTATCCATAATTCCAAGTCGTATTGTAAAAAATAAAATAATCAAATACATTTTTCTTTTAAGATCTTTATTGCATTTTGAAACATATTATATGAGTCTATTGTTTTTTTTACCACCCGTCTAATGAACTATACACAGTTATTAACATGGTAATTAAAAGTACCACTGTCTGCTTTGCTATTGGTGTTGTGTTTAAACGGCTCACTATCATTTTGAAATCTGCCATGTGTTGGGGTATAAATAAGGTCCAGTCAGTCAACATAATATCAGGTGGGTTTATGAGGAATCTTTTGCACCATTACATCTGCAAAGAGGCGTCCTAGTTCACAATTGCGTATGGGACCTACCAGGTGTCAGTGACGGGGCCCCTAAGATGTCAGGGGGCCCTAAGCAACTGCAGTCTCTGCTTACTGATATTTATGCCATTGTTTGAGGATCTAAGCAGAGGCGTAGCCATACAATATTTATAAGGGTGGCCAGGCAATAACCAATGTACACTAAGGGGTGGCCAAAAGTAGATAGGCACCAAAACCTCACGGTCGATCTACACTTTTCCAACAGGAAAATTAACAAGTAACACATTCATATTTTCTAAATAAAGACAAACTATACATTCCCAAAGCCTTTGCTAACAAATAACCGAATATATTCAAACATCCGTGCTTTGTAGATAAAAGGTATAGTGGATAAAATTCTTTCAGGTTTGAGTTTTTTGGGCGACCATCTTTTCGATTGTCATTACTTACCTTGTTTAATCAGTAATCATTCTGCATAAAATATATATTTATAAGTACTAATATCTACACAAAATTATTATTTAAAAAGTTTTTATCAAGATAGATATTTATGTATGATTTCACTGAAGACTCCTAGATGACTTGCAGAGACACATAATTTTCTCTTTACCCCATAAAACACAAAATCTATTTCTGCTTGAATTCTGCACTTATCATCTTTAATGTTAGTATGTTGATGTGCATAATTAACCACAGTGTTTTTGTTGTAAAGTAATTGTTAATATATGAAAAAATAAAATGTTTTGAATATTCCACCTCAGAGTATTACTGTTGCCACTATCTGTATTAAAGAGAAATTAATTGTAGGGGTGGCCAAGGATTGGCTAAGGGCGGCCATGACCACCCCTGGCCCCCCATCTAGCTCCGCCCCTGGATCTAAGAGGAGAGTAAGACCAAATGGAAAACAGACAGATGGCCCGGAATGTTATACTCTTTAAATAAACACAACTTGCGTGAGCTGCGATCACAAGGTTGAATTATAAACTAAATAGTTGATTATTTATTTAGACACTTGCTTTTCCAAATATACTTGTTTAAGTAGCTGTGTCATCCTCTAAATTCCCGGATGACAATATTTGTTAGTTGGATGAGTGGGCGGAGCCATGATGGCAGGTGATCTTTTCCTGTTCGCAGATCTGTTTACATTTTTTTAATGTTATGATTGTTATTTCACACCCTTTTCTTGCCAGAGTTTATTTTGTAATCAAACATTAGGTGGAGGTAAATGTTAAAAACGCACAAACAATGTGAATGTTCACATTTGAATGTGTTTGTTATGGAAAATGAATGTTAAATTAAATTAAAAGGGAGGTTTACATTTTCAGTTTCTGTTGACATGATCGCGACTTTGTGCTTTCTGTTACAGGTGGCCATGTTGAGGCAGTAGGGCTCTACCTTGTGGGCAGGTGTGACTCCCTCACCAAGCTTCCGATCACTCAGCCTGGCCTGGTAAAGCCGAGCAGCAGACACAATGAATGAGGCGATGGAAAAAGACCATGAAGTTTCCTTCTTAATTACCTAATACCTTCTAATCCGCTTGTATGTCCCAGCCTGTAGATCTGCTGACTGGCCGCAGACGGCGTTTTTTTTTTTTTTTTTTTTTTTTCCTTTTCTTTTTGGGTGACAGACGGACTAACAGAGGGAAGCGCTTCCTGACAATAAGGAGGTGCGTCTTATTTCCATTCCAGTGATTGACTGCGCACGGCTTCCACCGCCAGGAGCTGCGGGCATTGACGCATTGTGGAGTCGACATCAGGGAGGGGGCGAGCATTGCAAACCCCCGGCTTCACCACACATCGGACGCATATATCGGCGTAACCACCGCGATGGCCACCATGCAGCTCGAAACGGGGGACCACCAGCCGGAGAACGGCTTTGTGACCACCGAAACCTCGTTTCCGGATGTGCTGAACCGATTCGATCGGTCCGTCCTGCCGTTTCTCGGGGGGTTTGGGAAATACCAGAAACAGCTGATCGTGCTGACATGGATCCCTGCGTTATTTATCGGATTCAGCCAGTTCTCCGACAACGTTCTCCTGGCGCAGCCAAACAGCACATGTATCCAGCATTTGCCAAACGCGACTGGGCACACTGCGGATCATTCCTCGCTGCTGGACAGCCCGATAAACATGAGCTCCCCGCCTGCTCCTCTTTCTGCCGGTGGGAATGACAGCGGGTACAACGACAGCGTGCATTGCAGCTGCTGCAACTGTAGCGAGTGGACATTCGAGCTGCACACAGGACTTGAACAGAACGTGGTTACTAAGGTAAGCTATTCCTCTAGAGGATGGAGATCCTTTCAGTGATGCTGTTAGACCATGCATCACTGATATCCTGCCCTCTTTATTAGGATCGATTTACACTAACAAGCTGGAGGAGGATATGTATATATATATATTTTTTTACAATTAATGTGATGCTTTTGTCTATGTCTCCATATTGCACATAACGCAGAATATAGGATTGGTAATTTCACATGTGATGGTATTCACCGAGGTCCAGAGTACAAGGATTCAGATTATGTATCTTGCTGACATTGAGTCATCACAGCAGCTGACAGAAAGGATGACCTGAGGGACAGATACGCCACCACTATTTGGATAAAACTGCATTGATTTGGAGCAAAGGTCATGAGTCTTGTCTCTAGAATAATGGTGCTCCATCACAGGACAAACATCACCTATCCTGAAGCTACCCTAACCCAACACCAATGGGATATATGCTACATGATTTAGGCTGAATAGGCCTAGGTTTTTAGGAATGTGTGGGACTAGAAGTTATACTTTTTTTTTATGTATAGGGAACTCGCTATATAGTTGAAAATATTAATTCTACATTTAGATAAAAATTGTGCCCTCTTCGAATCAGTTTGTGGATGAATTCTTCAGCAACCATCAGACTTTCTTGGCCAATATCAGGGCTGTTAGAGATGCAGTAGTCAGAGGCGTAGCCAGAAATTTTTTACAAGGGTTGCCAGGCAATAACCAATGTACACTGAGGGGGGGCGAAAGCGGATCGGCACCAGAACCTCTGGGTCAATCTACACTGTTCCAACAGGAAAATTAAGGAGCAAAACATCCATATTTTCTAAATAAAGACAAACGATACTTTCCTACAGCCTTTGCTAACAAATAGACGCATATATCTAAACAGCCGTAATTTCTAGATAAAAGGTATAGTGGATAAAACACAATTTTGAGTTCTGGGGCGTAAATCAATCATCATTGCCATTAATTAGCTACTTGTATCAATGAAAAATTCTGCATAAAATTTATATTTACAAGCACTAATATCTAATAAATTGATTATTTAATATGTTTTTATTGAAATTGTTATTTGTCTTTGATTTCACTGAAGACTCCTAGATGGCTTGCTGAGACATATTTTTCTCTTTACCCCATAAAACACAAAATCTAGTTCTGAAAAGGGCATGAATTATGTACTTATCATCTTTGATGTTAGTATATTGATGTGTATAATTAACCACAAAAAAAAAAAAATTATGTTTTGAATACTCCACTTGAGAGTAATAGTGCTGCCACCGTCTGTATTAGAGGGAAAAAATGGTAGGGGTGGCCATTAATTGGCTATGGGTGGCCATGGCCACCCCTGGCCCCCATCTAGCTCCGCCCCTGTCACTAGTCAACTGGCCAGACATCAGAATTGCCTAATTTTGCTTTGATTTTGGTCTAATTGGTTATTGGCAGGCTGGATTAAATATAATCTAAAATGCAAGGGTATATACCTTAATCTACAAATTGAGATAATCCCTTAATACCCGTATCAGCTGATTTCAAAATCAGAAGATATATTGAAGGCAGGTAAAGCCTGTTTGGTTTGCTTTAGGGAATTATGGCTAGAATAAATGTTAAATCATCTAATTTGTAATTAACAAAAAGAAAGGTAAAGCATTTTTTCAAGCAAAAATTCTTGGATGTTTTGGTTTTAAAATTTCTGATGGTGGCTTACCTGTCAATCGAAGGAAAATTGTGCTACTAAAATGTCTTTGTTTTAGATAAATAATGAATACAATTTTATAAAATGTCAAAGGCAGCAACTTCACATTAATTTGCAGCCTGCTAAGAGTGTGGTGTGTTTCCCATACTCACAACAATAAGTTAATTGAGTTTTATTTTAACTCTGACCTTGCAGCTTGAGAAGTATAAAGGGGGTCTTCCTCCTTCCCTCTGCATGAAGTGCAAGCCCCTTTTTCCTTTTCCCTAATAATAGTATTGTTGAAATAAAGAATATCAAATGCAGTTATTTGATGTTTTAATTTACCTGCAGGCTCTGTCATGGTTTATTGGTTGATTTCATTAGCTATCCACAGGGGAATTTTGCTGTATAGGGATGTATTGCTGGCAAGGGTGATACAAGTTTTTATTGGGTTTTGTTCTCCTGTTCTGCCCTCGATAATGAGGCTATTGATTAGGTAAATTGATTAAGTGGATCTGTATCGCTAGCAGACATTTTTTATTTCATGATCTAAACAAAGCCAGATTCCCCTATGAGACTTGAGGAATAGAAACATAACTGTAATGCCGGCTCTGTAGCTTGTAGGTCTGTTCTTTTGGCACTCATATTAATAATGTCATGTCGACACTACCATCACTGCAGATAGATAACAGGGCTGTATTGTTTTATTAAATCGTCTGGAACTACTGGTATTCCTTGACCCGTAACCTCCTCTTTCTGGCAGGAATGGTGCTTGTGATAAATGGAATCGAATGACATGCAACCAAAACAAAAACAAGACCTAGCATTGAAGCAGAGCTGACTTGGGCACATGTCTCCTGCTTTGTCTGTTTTGACAACTTGCCCTCCTGCTGCTGTCTTCCAAGATCCCACTTTTTTCCCATCACAGAACAGGAACTAGGATGTGACACTATCACAGGAAGTGATGACCTGGCATCCCCTCTCTGTTTGGGCTGCACTGGCATAACTGCACACGAGTGGCCTCAGCTCTCTGTGTCACTCAATCCCTGAAAAGCAGTGCCATGCCATCACTGATGGAATGTGTCAGTGTTTCTGTGAAATGTACTAACACATCTAAGGTCATAATGATCTGTTAATCCCATGAAAAAGAAAAAAAACCTCTCTGTTTTCTTTTCTTTTTGGTGTAAGGGTGACACAGAAATGAGGCTGGCATGCAGGCAGCAGAGATAGAAGTGGTTTGGAAGGATCTGATGTGGTTAATGTGGAAACCCATTCTAATTGAGTCGGAGCTCTCCGAGGATTCCCCCTTAATTGAGCTGCACCTTGGAAATTAGAATGTATGATTACCAAGAGGCAGTATCTGTACAGCCTTGGTGCTCAGTGCCCATTCAGATGGGTGGTAGCTTTCCTAATATAGTGACCCAAGAACCTCTTAGAAGCACAAATTGACCTCTTTCCAAGAATTTAGCTTTGGACTGACAGTCTGATATACTTGGCAGCTGAAGTGCTTTTCTGCTTTAACTACTTGTGCTTTTACTTCTATAGTTATTAATCTTTTTAATGAATAGCTGTGTCTCAAGATGACATACAGGAGAAAAAAAATCTTGAATCACTAAAATACAGTTATTTTTAAGCATCATAATAGTATCAAGCAGAATCAATTGTAATTGGAAAAGTTTCTGCAATAATTGAGAAAATCAGTTTTAACCATTAAAGGAAGTAATATTAGGAGTAAATAGCAGATGAACGTCATGAGATGTCAGGCTGTTATGTTGTGTTGTTATTATGTTTATCTAAATTTAAAACATTGTATTTCCCAAACAGGCAAAGATAAATGCACCATGTGTAGGCCTTACAAAGTTAACAAAAACACTGTTTAGTGTGGATGGTGTAACTAAGATTAATGGTTTCTCACTTTTCATGCCACTCTTTTTTTTGGGGGTATGAACAGGTTTTTTTTCTTCAAATTTTTCTATTCTCATAGTAATAAGTCGGAACATGTGGATATATGACTCCAATGAAATAACTGTGATTTGTTTACTGTAACCACAGGTGACTAGACTTTTTTGGGGGGCATTTTGAAGTGTTGCAGATCCATAGCTTTATGGAAACATCAAAATCAAATGTTTTTATGGGCGGTTAAAGAACAAATGGAAACTGATATTTTAAAATAAGTTCTAAAGGAGCAAATATATACATCAAATGATTGATCAGCTGTTTCTGTCTTTTCTGGTGCCCTGAATATGACACGATAAAGTAAGCCAAGCTTACCAGGTTGAAGCACATTCATTAAAAACTTGGTCCATAACTGATATTAGGTCCGAGCTAGCTTGCAAACTGTATTTCTTGTTTACTACAGCCCTCTACTATAATGTTAGTTTATGACAATATTGTTATTTGCATGGCCTCATTTACTCCAATGGATGAAAACATTTCTAATTTCCATTTTCTTTTTCTTGACTTTTTAAAAATTTCCTCAAATTTTGCAGCACATTTGGATGATAACACTGCTATTAATCATATTTTAGAGGTGTCAACTTAGTTAAAAAAAAAGAGATCTGGGGCAAACTAAATTGAAGTGAAGTTTGAAATATTTCATAAAGTAATATACAATGAAATATTATTTCAGTATTTTTTAGCTATTTAGCACCATAATTAGTAAAACACTTAACGTTTTAGCTATTCTAATGGTTAAGTACATTATTAAAAATGGTTTGTTTAAAGGTCTTAAATGTAAGTAGAGAGGAATTAATTAATGTGTAGTTATGGAATTGGGGGCATAGTAATAACTATTTTCCATGGGTGTTTTTAAACGGCCTTAAAAGTAGAGGTGTTGAAAGCTTTAAAAAAAAAAAAGAAGGAAATCATATTTCCTATAGCATGTTTAATGTTGGAGGTTCAGTCAGGCTGGGAGTGAAATAGACACAAGGATTAGAGCAGTTGATAGAAAGGTGAACAGTACAGTACAATTAAATTATTTTGTTTCATCTGAGTTTGAAACCAATTTATTAAATCCAGTTCATTTAAATTCAGTGTATCTATATAGCCCCAATTCACAACACATGTCCTTGCAAGGCACTTTACAGAGACGTCATACAGTGAGATTGGTTGAAAGGTTTCTATCTAAGGAAACCCAGCTGATTGCATTTAGTCATTGACTTTGTAGAATTTTCTCCCCCCTGATGAGCAAGTAGTGACAGTGGACATTTGCTTTTATTGTGTCGTGGGCTATGCAGGGAAAGTGGAGCGGAAAATACTCCATTTGAAATAATACTTTGAAAAGCAGAGACCTCCAGCAGAACCAGGCTTGGTGTGAGCGTTCTTCTCCCAA